GGGCTGAAATGGTAAAATTACAAGTTTTGCTAAAGCTGCCTTTGTTTGAATGCCAAGTTCTGCCTTTATAATGCTCCACTGCTTGATCCCTGATATTTATCCATGACAGTCGTCTCGCTCTATCTCTCTTCCTTTGTGTTTAGCACCAGATACACTTTTTTATTTCCACTTAAATGTCTTTTCCAATATCCTAAGCTTGTCCGATTGTTTACTGACACCGACTATAAGCAGCCTAATGTGGGTCAATCACATGACTCAGGCTTTTCATGTGATTTTTGGAGAATTAAGATGACTGTTTTGTTTACTCCAAGTGCATTTTTAAGAATTTCCTATTAATGTATCTGGAAAACCACCAGACTGAAATCTTTCAAAGCACCATTTACGACAGCTCAGGATAACTTTTTTTGTGTTTGCCTTCATAGTTTAGTACCTTTAAGTCACAATCAAAACAAGAAAAAATGTGGTAAGACAATTCTTCGCAAAACCATTATTTTTAACAAGATCAATCGTTTCAGTTTCAGTAACACTGAAGATTTTTCTCTATGATTCAAACTGTGAAAACATTAGAACAATTATGAGGTTTAGCAATGCATGACTAGTATGTTTCACATCTTCACCACAACCTAAATTCAAAAGTAACATTGATATGAAACACCGAAACTGAAGGAAATGAAACATAAAAATGCCTAAAAGCAGGGTATTTATCTAATGATTTTTGCATAGCTGTGGAGAAGAAAGTGCAAAAACTGTATGTACACAACCCTGCTCTCTCTCCCTCTCTCTCTCTTTCAAATAGTGCTCCAGTTGAGGGGAAATACAAATTTTGGCAGACATGCTGGCTCCCATGAAAACAATGAACTCCCAGCTGCCATTTAAATAACTCCACTTTAATGTCTTACAGCAAATAAATGATTGAAATGAAAGTAGGGAAGTCCACGCTCTGACCAAAGATGTCAGCGTACACTACGTTAACCATCTATACTCAGACAAAAACGTAAAATCCCTGGGAGTCACTGGCCTACAAATACCCTTTCAACAACACCCAAGAAAAACAAGTGAGTATTGGAAACAGGGTGTGTAAAAGGATTGTGGAGATTATATAAAATGCTGCATGACCACTCAACTTGTCATCCCAGCTGCTGTGGTCATGCAGCAGAACTAGGAACAACACGCACAAAAATAAAAAAGCAGAAAAGCTCTCAGTGTTTTTACAAAAGGTCATGACCCTTCAGACGTATAAAGTACTTGAGATTGAACAAGAAACAGCCCAGATGTAAAACATCGTTTTCATTCTAATAAAAGCTTTACAAGCAAAGTTAATTCCTGCATCTGATAAACCTTTTCAAACCGAAGGTAAAACGTATCCAACACCCCTCCAGTACGTCTTGACACAATAATGCTTAAATGCACAAGTGAGGCTGGACTTAATTAGAAAAAAGCAATAAACAGAACCATAAACTGCAGGACTCAAACACAGTAACAACCACGCTATGATAGAAATTTCCATACAAACTTCTTTCAGGAAGAATTAGACTGCGTGATATAAATTTGAAAACTGCTCATCAGGATCTTAAAATTTAATTTGAACAGCTSGAACCAATTACCCAACCGTGGTTATAAATATTCTGCTGTTGACACCTTTCTGCAGAGATCTGACAAGCTGCGTACCGTGTTATTCTTATTCGTCCGAGTTCAAATCAAACCACGATGATGCTMTGATGTCAGGCTTTGCGAAAAGACTTAGCTTTATTGTCAATAAATGTACACTGAAGTGCATTTTCCTCGTTAAGCACCGTGATACGCTCGGTGCCATCAAACCTTAGCAGAATGAAAACGATGGATAGAAATCACCTGGCTATAATGAGGAAAATAAAACCCCTTCATTAGCTTTATCCAACTATGTTTTAGGTGAGTAAATGCAATTCTTTTAACAGTTGAATCAATATAATCCAATTTATCAATTAAGATCAGATCTTTATATAATTAAAAAACTAGAATTCACTGAAGGAATCTGTACAAACTGTTGCAGCCTTTCTTGTCAGAATTTGGTCCTAGCCATTTTGGCCAAACTATACAAATAAAACTGAGCCATCTCATGCCATCTCTTCAGAGTATGTGTTTGTGAAAGACACACAGCTTTTACTTCACCAATTTTTAGGTTGATGTCWGTAAAACTGAATGAGATGTAGTTATTTTTGTGTCGGCTAATGTTGGTTAACTGTGGTGTCCATCATGAACTGGATTAATGTCAATTTATTTATATACTGTAGCACATAAAAGCAACAGAAGTTGACCAAAGTACTTCAAATGAATGAATAAAACAACAAAGAAAGACAGAAAYGTTCAAAAATAAGTACAATTCATATAAAATACAGAAATACAACTTTTGGTTGACCCCAAAAGTTAAGTAATTGTGTACGTACAATAACAACTTCCAAAAGGTATATTTAGCCTTTTAATAGCATTTCAGTGGTTTATGTAAGGGTCACCCCGAGGGGGAATAAACATTTCCACCTGTCTTTGACCCTGGTCTCAAAAGACCTCCCTCAAAAGAGA